GCAGCGAAGGTAGGGCGTCCCTTACCGCCAGGGGTACGGAGACCCACCTCCCATAAAACTCTCTTAAGACTTCACCCTCCTCCTGTTTAATTTTGAAGAGAGCGCTTATGGTCAAGGAGCGACGTTTCCGGCTAGCAAATTTTGCCAGAAACATTATCGCAAATTGCTCGACGCACTCTATGCGCCCCTCCTCAATTTGGTTGTACCAATCCAGTACCACGCCCGCGAAGGTCGACGGGATACTTTCCACAAGGTGGCATCAGAGCTGTTGTGGAGTTGCATCTTTGTGAAGTAGCTGTTCAGATGGTCATCTGAGTCCGCTGTCCCATCGTAGATGGGAAGTCGGGGTATGTTGGTTCCAGCCGGCTCATTAGCACGTTCCTTGACAAGGGCTGTCTCACTAGGCAATGTCGGGGTAGGCGACCCGACGCCCACCCAAAGCGCCACTCGAAATCCGAGTTTGCATGGTCTCCCGGGCGCCACACGGACGCGGGGCGCTTTGCTTGCCTGGACTCCTCTTCTGTCTCCACATCTCTTTCCCTTTTCCTTGAAGTCGGACTACGCACCATTCCCTCTCCCTTCTTCAACGCCTCAACTTCCCGCTTGAGAATCTCATTCGCCTCATCCTAGTCTTCGATAATCCTAAATAGATCTCTCTTGGTGAGCGAGGCGCCCTCAGAAATCGGGAACCTCGACTTGCTTCCTACCTTGTCCACAACTTTAGGCGTCCTCTCTCTTGACCCCGTGGAGGGGTTACCCGTGATTTGTTCCACCTCTCCACTCGGAGGCGCTTCCATATTTGCAACTTTCGGTCATACTCCCCTATCTGGCACGCCAATTGTTTGTGCCTGGATACTTTGGAGCCCAAATCCTCACCTGCTTTATCCCCGCTCTACGTGTCCAAGGCACCTGACCTGCACACAAGCACACATAGGAGGGCGTCTGGGCCCGTTAGTCCTTCAATGATCAAGTCAGTTTGGGTTTTAGAGAGAGAAGTGGCAAGCTCAAGTGTTTAGTGAGAGAATCCAACCTGGTGTAAATGCCACCTACCGGCACTATTTATACTCACCCAACCCTGAACTAGGCTTCATTAACCTAGTTCCCCGTCAGCATCGCATTTAATACTCCGTACCTCTGTCAGGCTGGGCGCCCTGACCAACCTGTCAGGCCTCTGACAGGTACAAGGCCCCCAGACCGTACTCTCTTCGAACCTTCCAAACCTTGTCTCCTAGTTTCCCATATTTACCCCTGGGTCTGGCCCCGCAAACCAACCCGCGGAGTGGGCCCACAAAGCATCCTCTTTTTTCTCCTTGGGCCTCCTTGGGCCTGTCCTTGGGCCTATCTTGCTAATTCCCCCAACATATATGTTATGATAGCGAAAATAACATGTTTTAGGATGGCAAACCGATGATGTTCATTTGTTTTACTTGATGGCCAAATCTCGTATGGATCAAGTCCATTCAACTCTTTTATTCTATGGTTAGCGGTCGCCCATTAGAATCCATGCATTAGTTTATTGTTATTTTTTTTTCTTTTTAGCAACAAAAAAGTAGTATTGTTTTTTTCCCTTTCTTTTTAGCAACAAAAAAGGGTTTAAAGACAACCCTATATTCCCTAAAAAAAGCTGCTCAATGCTCACCGACTCATGGTTCACTACTCTCTCTCGATGTCAATTATATCATCGTCGGTAGCCACTTCTCCCCATCCTTGTTTTCCTGCCGTTAATTTTAGCTCTGCAAACCTTTTCCCTGCATGTCATCCTCCCCCTGAACCTCAATTTCAACTCCCCCTTTCGGTCTCTATTTTTCATTTATTAATCTTCCATTCTCTTATTACTTGTTTAAACCCCTTTTGTATATCTTCGGCACTAGTTTAACGAAGAAGAAGAGAAAGCCACCAATCTTAAATAATATATTGTATTGTTACAGTGAAGCGATATTGTGGATTTCTTTGTCACTTATTTGTTAGAGCTTGCGAATGATGGAAAAAGGGGTGGTTGATTACGATTTGATTAGATGACTCAATCTTTAAATTTTACTTGCATGCAATTTACCACCCTTCTTCATTTGCATGATTGGATCATTTTAGTATGCTTAGATTTCTTTTCATAGGGAAGGGATTAGGTGATTAGCACACGGAAGAAGAATTGGGGAAATTATTTTGTAAACAATTATGAAGCTCACTTTCTCTAATTATTTCATTTATTCCTAGGGTGGGTGTAGCCCAGATCCAGCATCGGAACAATCCAAGACTCGGTTATGGTGATCGCTAAGGAGGCACGAAACAGATGCGGCTGTGGCTGAAACCTGTTCTGTTTTTGTGGGCCGCAACAATCCTTGGGCCCGTTCAAATCCGCACATGTACGGTATGTTGGCCCGTTCCACAGAGGAAAGAGAAAAAAATTGACACTCCCTATTATACCCTCCTACAAACGCTCCTGTAGCAGGAAATTTGAACTAGGGGAAGAGTTTTTTCCTTCCTGCTATTATATTATGTGTAGATTGTAGTAATTAGAACCTCACTTTTAAATCTGGAAGAAGGTGACCACTATCACAAAACATCATTTTATAAAAACTTGTCTGTAATCATGAGGTTATTTCACTCAAAATAAACTATGTTTTATATGTTGAAGATCAGCATTATAGCTTGAATAGTTCAATTCGACAATGATCTCAGGTCTTGCATAAATTTTGTGTAAAAGTGGTATGATTGAAGCTATTCCCTATTTTGACACTAATCGGAATGGTCTTTGTTTACTAGAAACTAATCACCAAAACATTTCAAATCAGAAAAATGATGATACTGAAAAGGGGTATTATAACAAAAGCAACAAAAAGTATAGTTATTTATCTTTAATCAACACAAAAGTCAACCTAGAAGATCAACCAAATAAACTGATGTTAAGAGATCATACATTACTATGAAAGAAACTAAATAATCCATCAGTCAGCTCTCCAAGCAAGAGCACTCAACCTTTACGTATTTACCCCTCCAAAAATTGATTTGCGTAACAATATAGGTGGAGGAGGTTAGGCGGTTGTCGAGTCCGATGGGAAGGTTTGGAGAGACGGTGATGGTTGAGCCTTTAGTAGGAAGGGAGCCCGAGACACTGTTTATCTTTAATCAACTCAAAAGTCAACCTAGAAGATCAACCAAATGAACTGAAGTTAAGAGATCACACATTACTGTCAAATAAACTAAATAACCCACTAGTCAGCTCTCCAAGCAAGAACACTCAATCTTTTCATATTTAACCCTCCAAAAATTGCTTTGCGTAACAATATAGGTGGAGGAAGTTAGGCGGTTGTCGAGTCCAGTGGGAAGGTTTGAAGAGTCTGCGATGGTTGAGAGTTTAGTACGTAGGTCGAGACACCATTTTAGATTTAAGCTTCCTGTATGTTTTTAATTTAAAATGTTTAAACAAATTTGTTTAGTCTAACTGGTTATGTTTCTTGTCTTTTCTCAAAGAGATCATAATTAAAATCCCATCACTTATGTATTTTTCCTATAAATAAGAAAATAATAAATGACTGTGAAGACGAATCTACCCTTCCTACTTTTGCAATGGATGCATGGATTTTGTAATGGGAGAAGTACCTTTCTCATTTCACTCTTATATTAGGTGTAGCGAAAGTAACCCAGTGGTTGAGTGTTTAGTGGGTTGGACAATATTTGGGCTCGTTTACATTAGTAGCACCTTTTCCATTTGTGTTGGACAAACCAACAAAAACTCAATCTATCCATATTTACCCCTCCAAGAATTTCTCTAGCTTAATAATAGAGGTAGAGGAGGTTAACCGGTTGTTGAGTCTGATGAGAAGTTTGGAGAGACGGTGATGGTTGAGCGTTTAGTGGGTCGGGACACTATTTGGGTCCATTTACATTAGTAGTGTCTTTTCCATCTACGTTCGGCAAACCAACATCACTCTACCTTTCCATATTTACCCCTCTCTTAAAGACACATGTGCCCCATATACACTCAAAAGTTATGTGTTTAAATATATCGTTACTTTATGATAGCTATAACAATTAAGTCTATGTTAAGAATTCTACATCGCTTCTACATATTCAAGAGTGCAATTTGATATGCAATATTTGAATCAATGACATGTCGTTTGCTAAATGTGGTGGAAAAGTCCTATATTTTTCAGATTTATGCTTCCTGTATGTTTTTAATTGAAAACGATCACACGAATGTGTTTATTGTAACTGGTTATGTTTCTTATCTTTGTTTTAGGAGACCACGGTTCAAATCTCATTATTGATGTATTTTTTCTGTAAATAAGAAAATAATAAGTGATTGTGAAGACGAATCTACCCTTCCTACTTTCACTCTAGATGCAGGAAATTTGAAATGGGACTTCAAGTTTTCTCATTTGCCTTTTATTTATTGTGTAGAGATAGATTGGTTATTGCTACAATGAGCTTAGTATTGAAGATATCTCAACATTGAACCAGGAGGAATCTTATGCTTTGAGCAATTAGTTAAACTACCATCAATGCCCGGCCCGTTGGCCGGATAGCGTAATATGGGTTAATTTTGAAGAATTATAGTTCTTGACTTAAAATTGAATTTTATTTTGTTGTGTGTGTATTCCATTTCTGTATTTTTTTACAGAAGTCGATTAACCTGATATTAGTGGGAATATAGATGCTGTATGAATATTTATACATTGCAAACGTGGACGACAAACATCTTCAAAATATGGACATCTTCAAGTTGTGAGAAGTCAAAGAAAGAAACTTTAACGTTCTCTTGTTTAAAACATAATGAAACTCTAGAATGCCACGTATATGGACTTCGATAAACTAATGCACAACTACATTATGTTCACTAATTTATAACATGTCATACGATTTATAATGGCGATGAAAATTTATTAACAGCGAGAGAACAAAAAAACAAACAAAGTTCGACCAACAACGTCAACTCACAAGGATTGAACAACTACCAAAAAGAGGACATAAGAAAAACCAAATAGATAATGGCCACAGCTAGATGGATTAGACTACCCTTATTGTTCTCAAAGAAAGCAGGAAAAACATAAACTACAAAGGCAGAGGAAGCAAAGCAACAACAGCCTGTTGAAATAGAGCAGAAAAACATAAAGAAGCACCACAGCAGCTTGCGGCAGAAGTTACACGCTAATGTTGCTCAAAGACTACCAGTCATTCCTGAGGTTACGATCAGGAGGGCAAGCTTGAAACAAAAGCCTTGTCCAATCCTTCTTGTTTTGATAGCTAATCAGCGCAGTAGCTGCCAACCATCTCAAAAGATTCGTACATATTCAGAAAAATAGCTTGCCAAGTCTGTTTCCTATCACTAAAAGATCTTTCATTTTGTTCCTTCCACAGCTCCCACATAAATGCCCATGCCGACAGATTACCTATGGGCCAGCCATGAATCACCTTGTGTATCTCTTCAAGGTGCGGCCCGATGACCTTCAAAACTAACTTCTGTAAGCTTTGCTAGTATAGACGTTATTCCATAATGAAACAGATTTTTTTTAGAAGCGTTAGTCAATAAATGATGCACGAATTCATAGAAATACCTGAAATGGAATTGCTTAAGAAATGTTCACCCAGAAAATGCTTTAAGAAATCAACTATTCGGCTGCTTATTGAGTTACCTGTTGAAAAATTATATTTAGAAGCAACACCAAAGTCTAAAGCCCAATGAACAATGTCATCATGAAACTCAGCAAAACTGAATGAAACAAAGACATTACCTAAAAATCATTTCAATGCAAATCTTAAATATATCTGCTCCAATCTATAGTATCCCAAAATCAATATATCAAATTGTCATTAATGAAAGAATCAACATATACTACATGAATCATCAAACAAAGCAATAATGGAGGCGTGAAAACGAGTTTCTGGTCAAAAAGGAGGAAGTTGGAGTGAAGGGCGATGGAAGAAGAAAATACCCGGTCAGGAGTTGAAATACCCGACCGGGTAAAATGCAAGAGGAGGCCGGGGAAGCACATTTTGGAGGCCGTGAAACAGAAGGGGTCCTGTCCGGATCGCTTAAATACCCGTTCAGGTATTCTGAACCTCGATCGGATATTCTCCGATGGCCGTTGCGCAGCGTTCCAAAATACCCGGCCGGTCACCTTAAATACCCGACCGGGTATTATGGTCGGGTATCGCGTTCTTCCCACACGAAATCAAGTTTGGCTCCTTTGAGGTTCCACCGGTAGCTCCAACGAAATTCCCTCCCATGGCAGACGAGTCCACTCCGTACAAGAAAGCCCCAATAAGCCACCCATGTTCGGACCTACACAACCGCGGACCAAACCTCGACATCCCGCGACACCTTGGTTTCCAGCTTCACCTTCCATCTTCATTCGATTGGCCGAATAATCGAGTGAGGCAAACCTTAACCATTTAAGCCCTGATCTAACACCGAAAGGCGATGGCCACTCCTCCTCATAACACTTCCTTGCGGCGGGGCATGGCAAAATAGGAGCTGCCAATGACGATGGTGGTGCAAGCTATGGGAAACCAAGGACAAAATCTTCGTCTTCGGCCTCCATTGAATAGGCTAGGGCTCTCACTTGTGGTGGCCACAACTTTATAGCCGGTTCGGTAACGACAACGGGTTCCTGTCGTTTCTTCCTCTTCTTCTTACGATAAAAGTACATCTCCCCTTTAAGGCTGATGGCCATGAAATCGTCGATGTTCGTCGTTGAAATAGTAAAACCATCGCTAGCCAATGGTGGGGCGAGAGATTCCTCTAGATTAGGGTATAAGAAAACAACCTCTCCTTCAATAGCGGTGACAAGGCGGTATGGTGCGGACTTCATAGTCGTCGTTGGGTCCTGGGATTGCAGCGTTGGGGCTCAATCTCCAGCTTCGTCGGGTTCGGAATTAGGAGTCGTTTCACTTTGGCTCGATGGAATCAAAGTCAAATGGCTTTAATGCCTCACATTTGGCGTAGATCTCCACTAATCATCGTTCCCAGCTCAACGATGCCTCCTTCGAAGTCAACAGCTTGGTGGTGACGATACAAATAGTCTACAGCGCCTTGTCCTCCTCCACTCGATGACTCTCCTAACCTGGCGGCTTGGATCCGCTCTTGAAGACTAGTGAGCTCTCCTCATTCTCGAACAATCATTCCCCTGGCCATGGCTCTTGAAGACTAGTGTAGCTACGGTTTACAAACACCCAAGTGAAATAAGGGACTACTCCATGCTAGGAGAAGGGAAAACACAAGGGAGAAGAAGTGAAACCATCATGGAGATGCTAGCATGTCTCCTTGTGTTGAAGAGATCTTCCTTTGGGGAAGGAATTCCCAAAACCTTGCTTGAAAATAAAACCCTAACTTGTTCTCTTATTTGGTTCGTCACTTTCTCACACTAGAAATCTAAAGAAGAAGTTTCTCACACTAGGTCTCTCCACCCCTTTTTTCTTCAGCTCAACCCTCCTTTTATACCCAGGTCGCGGTCAGTTCACGGTCCAAGTTCACGATCGTGCACATTCCTCCTGGATCGTGATGTCGAGCTTATCTACACCGTTTCTTTTAGTCTGTTCACGGTTTGTGGCTTTGGTTCACGATCTTGCGACGCAAACTAACTGGGAGCTTGCGAAGTGTGCAAATGCTCCTAGACCCTTGGTGTTTCACGGTCTGTGAGCACTTTTCAAGATCCTAAGACCGTGAAAAATCATCATTGTCGTGATCCTCAACTGCTTCCACCCTTTGACTCGTTTTTACTCATTTTCGTCCCACTTTCGATTACGGGGTCAATTCCACCTGTCAAGATCTGAAACATACTAAAAAAAACACAACCTAGTGTAAAACCACACCTCACGGAGTACAAATTCATCAAACATCTAAGGGAAACGGGGATAAAAAGTGTACAATCGGACCCGAATCACTCCCCTACACTTAGACGTTTGATTGTCCCCAAGCAAACAATTTCCAAACAAGATAATATTCTAACCTGACAAGATAACTTGGGGACATATCAAAGGGCTCAAAGCGGCAAATCTCGATGGCTATTGGTCATCAACACATGAACCGGCGCAAGCAATATCGGCATCCACCATAAACGACATTCATATTGTATCAAGAGCGTGCAAATGAAAAGTTCTCCCCTTTTTCCCAAACCATCACAAGTCTCGACAGAGCTACTCACTAGCCACAACTAACTGTGCATAGATTTCAAGTGCAAGGCACAAACTAAGGGGCAACATAGGTCCTCACCGAGGTAAGATATGAACATGAAACAATGAATGAATCACTCACTCTCGACCTGTTGGGCAGGATCATTTGGTGCAAAAGATGTGCACAACCTTCAACATTCAGCCATATCATCTCTTCACCATGGCGGCAACCTCTAAATGCTAGAGTTCATGGGATGGTTGCCATCACTAGCTTGTCTGGAGGTCTTAGACAAGGGTTCAAATGACTAGCAATTGTCTTGGACATGGGGAAAAGGCCTTTTTGGGTGGTGGCAAACATAGCATGAGGTCCTACATCTTCAACCTAAATCCAAAGGTTCCATGGTTTCACTAGAACCTTTCCTACAATCAACGGCCACTAGCACGGCCAAAAACCGCTCTTCCCTTCTTCCAAACCACTACCAACCACGAACTACAATAAAAAACACTTCCTCGGTCTATTCTTGCTATCCACATCTCAATCATAGTAGTGAAGGAGGTTAACAAATACTTAGGTGTTTCAATGGCCTGAATGCCAAGAAACCCTATCTAGCGGATACACTTGGACTTTTGTGGTAACTCTCTACTTTTATTTACCCTGTTTTATTACCTCTTTTTCGTTTCCTTCACTTTTCTACTTTCCATTTCTTTTTCTTTTTTTTTTTTTCTCGAGGGGGGTACTAGAGAGTTAAACATTTGCCAACTTAACATTTAACAAACAATGCTCTCTATTAAGAACTTCCGCCAACACTACCATTTCTTTCGTCACAGAACAAAACTTATTGTGATGGGTTCCTTCGTCACCTACAATGGTGACTTTGGGTAACGAAATTCCTGTCATAGTTGCTGTGGTTTAGCCAATAACATGTTTGTCACCAAAAGTTGAGTCATTGGTCAAATGATATAACTTGGTATTCCATCCAAATTCATAATGGCAAATACCTTACTGACGTTCAAGAAAACTTGAGCCAACTAGCTAAATTTTCTTTACAAATTATATGAACATTAATTGTATAAATATCACTGGCCTCTACATATATACAAGATGATGTGAAACATACTTACAGAGAGAAACAATCTGCTACAGGTCTCAAATAGAATGTTAATCTTGAGTTAACATTAAGGGTTCAAAAACATTAAAACTCCTAACAAAAACAAGTTAAGCTATATTACGGAAGATTTGCATCTTCTATATTATACGAAGCTGGTAAGCATGTCATTAACTTCTTACTGCACTCTCTCGATCCCACATCATTAGACTACTACTTCACCTCGTATCTGAAATGAAGGACTACCATATGCGAGTAGAATACTAAGTTTCAACCAAATCATAAGGCCATTAATAGAGTTCAAACCATCAATCAATAATGTAAGTAACCTGGTATCATTTTCAACAAATAAGTAAAGGAGACCGTGTAGAAAATCAATCAAACAAGTAGAGTCAAACACAACTCTCCATATTGGAAAACCAATCCAACATATATGAACAAAAGCACTCATCAAGCTTCTCAATCATCTCCTTGTCCACTATCTGTGTTTCTCCTGTCTATAGGACAAAACCTTTGGCATTTAAACTTATGAAGCACCTGCACCCTGTTGTTGGTGTCAGACCAGAACCCCTGGTTTATGCATTGTGAGAGTAGAGCTAAAAAGATCAGATTAACATAATGACTACTGAAACTTAAATCAACGAGGTAGGGGTGGGCATTCGGTCGGTTCAGTTTCGAACGAACCGAAATTATGAATACTGGGTCCCCGAATTCTCCCAAACCTCAAACCGAATTCGAACCGAATTATAATTCGGTTCGGTCGGTTTAAACCGAACTATAATTCGGTTCGATTCAGTTTTTCACAAAAAATCGAATTTGTGAAGCTACTTGTATTTTCTCACTTTTAAATTATTTTTCACCCCTAATATAAACAATAAATATCAATTATATGCATCATCAATGATAAAACCAAACTTTTCAACACATAAGTCATAAAACATTTCAAATATTTAAGTCTAAAAACAACTACAAACATAAAATTCCACCATTTGGAGCTTGCAATCATAGTATTTCGGTTTTTCGGTCGGAAATTCGGAAATTCGGTTCGGTTGAAAGAACCCTGATTTCCGAACCATCCATATTTTCCTTACAAATTCCGAACCGAATAGCATTAATTCGGTTTCGGTTCGGTTCGGATTTACCGAACCGTTTGCCCACCCCTACAACGAGGGACAAAAATGGCTTACTCAGACCATTTCCAGTGAGAGGTTGTGAATATCCCCAAAGCAACTAACAAATTTACCATAAAGAAAAATTGAAGAGAGAAGAATGTAAGTATAACAAGTACAAAAGGGTATAACTTCTCTGTCATGAGTCCATTCAAAAATAATATTTACTTGACACCCCTATTTTAGAAGATGGATCTTCTATATTCTACGAATTATGTTTATTTTCTGTCAAGGAAACCTAAAAGAAATCCATGCAAAGAATTCCTCGAGCCGTAAGAATGTCTAAACAAGAGATATTGGGTGCAATTATGTGGGAGTAGATATAGCTCACATGCTCACATACTCACAAAGGCATCAGAAACTATTGTATTCACATAAATGATAAGTGGAAGCATCTATGTTGAAAAAGTCAGAACTTTTTATGCATTCGGGCATTGTATAAGAGCTATGTTCTCTAGTCCAAAATGGAATTCAATGGCTGGGCATTGGGCCATTGTACAACCAACAATGGGGAATCTGGTATGATATAGCACAAGAGAGAGGAATCACTCGTTTCAATTTTCTAAAGTTATTCGATGGTCAATTCTGATCAAGACTAGTACTAAACAAGAAAGAGCTATGAAAACAACTATGTGAATAGATTCATACTTGCCTTGGTGATAAAAGTTCATATGCAGCTTACACCTCTCTTTCATCCAAGATAGCCCTGCAGAGAATGAGGATATTTTAGTAACAAGTCCCCTTCCTGAGACTACTGAATCCTCCTTCTAATTCTTTTCCCATGGATGAGAGCTAGCACGAGGTGGCCAAGAACAACCTATAAGAAAGAAAATATTAGATGATGCTGCTAAATGATCTAAAATTCTCATAGCTACTTGCCAGAGAGCAAGTCTCGATAAATTAAATGCAAAATTAGAATGAAAAGGTATGATTTTCAAATAAAAGCATGTATCTCGACTAGCAATTAGACTTAAATCATTCTAGAAACTTTTCATTCTTCCCATCCACTACTTTGTATTTGATCATGTAATCAACCAATGAGTTAATTCCCGCTCTCTAAACATATTTGCTCATAGGACTCTTTTCTTGGAAGCTCTTATAGAGTTAACAACTCGTTTCTTAGTAAAAGGTGAATTTGAAGAAGACATTTAGTAGGTAATATGGGAGAAGGTAGAACCACTACGACAAACTTGACCAATCTAAATTACTAACAGAGATCCATTGAATCTAGTCAATTAACATAGATCCATCAATGACTATTCTAGTATTCTAGGGTATTAGACAAGTAATTAAGCTCAAATCTCTTCAGTAAATTGATCTCCCATGCTGTGAAAAATAAGAAAGTTAGCTATAAATAGCATAAATAAGAAAGCTACACAAAAAATATCATTGAAAAATTACGTTTTGGTACCTAAAATTTTTCATTATGACATTTTAGTACCTAAACTTTTTACATTTTACATATTGATCCTTGGTTGAGGATGTCATTTGGATTCATGGATAATCCACCAATCCACTTGATCCAATCCATGAATCCACCAATCCATTTGATCCATGGATCCACCAATCCAATCCACCAATTCAATCCATTTGCCACCTCTAGTTGTATCCGCATGCAAGAGGCAGGATAAAGAATAACCAGCAAGTTCGTAATGGCCAGTCGAGCATATTGCAAGCATTACATAGAACACATAATTCTAAAGGTGAACTAACACTCTAACCGTTTGGTTTCAGGCAAATGATCAAACATATCGTGAGCATTAATAAGAATTTGAATCCTTGCGACTTACTAACGACCCCTTTCAAGAAAACAAATCATACATAGAAAATTACATAACGATGGAAGCAGCAAAAAATACATCACAACTGAACGAGGAAAAAGAATCTGTCTACTTTACTGTTGGAATTTTGGCACAAGTACAAAATAAACTAGAAATCCAAGGTTCACAGTACCCTCGTTCCAGCTAAACAGGCAACTCATAGAACATTAATCCATCCTAGACTAAGCAAGGTATGATTAGAGAACTCCATGCCGAAATATGCCAGCTAGGTTAGTATCGGAATTTCCAGGGGGGGATTAGAACATGAATCGAATTGTTGGAAGTTAGACCTGACCTTTTTCAAATTGCTTTCCAGATCTGCCAAGCGTGAAGAAGCGTTCTGGTTATGAAGAAAACACAAGATTCCACACAAGCCTGCAAAATCCGATAAGATTTGAAGTCTTCTAGTTTCAACAATTTGTACTAACCTTCTCATCCAGTCTGACGCCACCATAGTCTAGCATCGAAGGCACAATCCTCCCCGCCGGCGCCACAAGCAGCTTCAAGTGCTTCCAGAAGTCGAAGCTTTCACGAAATTCATTTACATTGTGAAGAGGCTTCACGATCTATAAATCGAGTGAAAAGTAGGAGTTCTAGAAATTAGGGTTCGTGAAGATTGGAATTGGAATATCATGGAAGTACAAAGAAGTAGATAGGCGGAAAAGAAAAGAGGATCGAAGACTGGAATTTTAGACCCATTTACGCTTTTACTTCCTTTGACGTAAGTTCGTAACCGGGCTGGGCCGGATGGTTTTTTTCAACGCTTTACCAAATATTTTTTCTAAAAATATTTATGTTACACTTAACTCAATTTTTTCTAGTGTTTTTAGTATAAATATATATTTTATGTGACACATTGCGTCGTCACACAAAGTTATTACAGAAATGTGACAAAAACATTCGTGTAGTGTACCCCCCCCCCCCCCCTCACATTTAAGCTCGACATTTTCCTCAATGGTGTAAAATAAGGGGGTAGAGCGATGTTACTACAAGGCTTGGCGACTAAAAGTGGGACGGTTTCCAGGGTAGGAGATTTGAGCTTCCAAAAAGGAGGAGTAAACACAAAAACACAAGCACATTATCGCTCGAGGTGAGGTTATTACAGAAAACAATATTCCACATCATGATAAAAAGAGAAGAAACGCTCACACATGTACTAGTTCACACACAAAAGAAAAGAAAAATAACAGAGTTCAGGGTTTCAAGTGGATAAGTGGGGCGAAAGAAATCGGCTCTGCCACATGTCGCACTCGGTCGACTACCTCGCACTGGTCTCGGGTCAATCTTCCTCCTCGTCATCAGGCAGGACACCCTGCTTGCGGGCAATCCACACCAAAAGTTCGGTGGAGAGATCCAGGCGGGTGTTAACCCCCATGACCTGCTCCTCCGAGTGTGTGACTCGTTCCACCAACTAGACTCCGGATGAGGAACTAGCTCCAGGTGATGATGATGATGATGGTGGTGGTGGTGCGGCACGAAGGCGGCGACCCAGAGCTCGAGTAGCCTGCTTCTCGGGAGGAGGGACCTATGGAGGTATGGGGAGGCCCTTGATGTAACTAAAGGGGCCAAAGACTCGGAGCAAGTCCATGGTAGCCAAATTGTCCTCCCAAAACCTGGTGGTTCAGTCCTCCTTCATGCACCTACTTAGATCAACATTGAAGTGTCGTGCAAGTTTGGTGATGTATGGTCACAAGTATATGACTTTGTTTCTCCCGTTGCCAATGATCTTCCTGAAAGAGCTTGCAAGAACGGACCCAAGATGGAGGTTCTCGTATGTGCTCCCCATGGAGTTGAGTAGTAAAAGAGCTCTCTTGGTGACCTTGTTCGCCGACTTGAGACTCGAGAGGATAGAATGAGCTAGGAGAGCATTGAGGATCTGCCATTGGGGCTTGAGAGTGGTGGCAGTAGTGTCGGAAGGATGGTAACGTGTTCTCCTATGCCGTGAAAGGAAAATCTTCTAAAAAGCAGCTTGGCAGTGGAAATCCTGAAGGAGATCCACTTCTAACTCCAACATTGGCAGGCCATCAACTCCAAGAGCTCGGAGAGCTCATCAAAGCTCATGTGTCGGCACTCTCCCACCATAGAGATATCACAATGAGACTCGTGGCCCAAGGTTGAGTTCTTATGCTGGGCGAAGGTGTAATTGTTGTAGAATTCGATGCACAACTCGGCGTAGACGTCATCCTCAATTTCTAAGAGCCGACACCATCGGGGGTGTACCAAAACCTCTTGAATGACATCTTCACAGTTCAGAGAATTGAACTGTTGGATATCGAGCTTCCAATGATCACCCAAAGGAGCCTTCATCCAAAATCGCAAAGTGCTCCGAAAATGGGGAAGTTGGGCCACCTTTTAAAAGAAGAGGTGGTTCTCGTGAAACATCCTGCAAAACTTCCAAGACATACATCATACGTGGAAACAGTCATTAATATCAAATCATCGGGATAAAAGAATTCCCCCACACTTATGATCCCACTGAGGCCCTATGCCTTCGAAGGCTTTGAAGAATTCCCCCACGCTTATGATTTCCACATGCACATCATACATCATTCAAACTATGCTACTTGTTCAAACCCTCGCCTAATTTTAACCAATCAGGCAAGATTAAATCGATTCTCCCCACCTAAGAACTCTAACCCTATTCTCCAAAAACGACAAAGGAAAGGCTTGAAACAGACTTAGAGACACAAGTCGGGTCGAAGAGAAAGGTGAGGAGAAGGCAGGGGTGTCAAAAAATGGCCGAAAAACTACCTGGTGGAGCTTGTCGGAGTGTCACCGGAAATTGCACACCCCAAAAAAATTTTGAGCCAAATTGACTCAAAACTTTGGCGAAGGTGCGCCCGGGAGTGGGGATTCTGGGTTTGTTCTTGGACTTTAATTTGGGTGACCAGAAGTCGCCAAAATTGATGAAAAACAGCGAGATGTCAGGGTTTTCCCACAGATTTCTGAGGATTCCGGCGAGGGGGCGGTGTGAAGTGAAGAAGAAGGGTTCACGCCCTTATATAGCCCAATCTTGAGGTTCACGGACGGAGGCTTCTGTTCACGGTCGCTAAGACCGTGAACATAAATCTCATATCGTAAACTCAAGGCAGAATAGTGCATTTCAAAAAATGATGGAACTGCCCATGTTCATGGTCTCCACCCGATTATCACGGTGGCTAAAACCGTGATAATGAGGCTAAAACCGTGAACTGAGTGAAAATAGGCATTTCCAAAATTTCAAAACTCGACCTAATCAAATGTGTCACACCCCCTCTGTCTTAAACAACTGAATTATATGTACATCGTAAGTAAAGATTTAAATAGGTGTTACTATTTATTAAACTAGTGCCCAATTATGGCGACTAACATCTTTGAGAATTCGGACTAGTTATTTATCTAGGATAACAAATGTTGGGGAACTCACCGTAATTCATTAGGACCCAATTAAGTGGAAATTGTAATTGTTATTTTACCATTCCCCACCTGTTTTAACTTGGTTGCTTAGGTAAAGTTATGAATCTAGTGGGTAGGAAAGAGTCAACTTTGTTTGGATGGGGTGAACCGAATGGGTTCCACTAAAGCAAGGGTAATAGAGTCATCTTCTAGAACATTTTAATTGCTTCTGGTGACATAGAGGACTCCACTTCCGGAACCAAATTGAAAAGCAAACACATAGGCAGGTACATACAATTAAATGAGTAAGGAAGTGGCTAGATTACCTTAAAAGGAGAAAATGTGGTCGACCTCCCTTATCTCATCCATTACCTTTGAGTTCTAAGAGAGAGTGATAGAAGCTTCCTTATCACCTCTTTCCACCATTGTTATCTCCCTTCATCGTCCTTGAGACCACATGAAAGTATATTCAGGAGAATGCAAAGCTTTTGTGGTTATTGAAGTGGGTATTAACTGTATGAGGTAAGTTGTTTTCCCTTTGGTACTATGATTCGGGCCTAATTATACACTTTTTATCCCCGATTCTCTTTCATGTTTGTTGCATTTGAACTCCAATAAGGTTGGTTTTACGTGAGGTTGCTTATGTTTCAATGTGTTTCATATCCTAACAAGTAAAACCAAACCTGAAGTTGAAAGTTGGAAGAAAATGAGAAAAGGAGCAAAGATCAAGCAAAGAGGTGGAGACGGCCAATGTTCACGATCTGATGTTGGAGTTCACGGTCTTACAGCGTCGTGAACTGGAGCCAAAACCCGCGAACCAAGGTGCGTCCAGAGAGGTTTGCAGGTTACTGATCCCTAGGTTGTTCACGGTCGCTAAGACCGTGAGCAAAGGCCATTGACCGTGAACCCGAGCCAATGAAGCGGTGCATTTTAGTCTCAGCACTGAGTTCACGGACGCGTTTCAATGTTCACGGTCGTGAACTCAGGCCGTGAACTGTGTGCGATCTCAACTTAAAAGGCCAGCTGAAAGGAAGAAGAGAGGAGAGACCTAGTGTGAGAAACTTCTCCTTCTTCAGATTTTCGAGTGAGAAAGTGATGAACCAAAGAAGAGGAAAAGCTAGCGGTTTAATCTCCAAGCAAGGTTTTGGGAATTCCTCCCCCATAGGAGGATTTCTTCAGCACAAAGAGTAAGGCTTGCATCTTCTTGATGGTTTCCCTTTCACTCACCAAGAAAAGGGGTAGCATCGTTCTACCCCTATCTTACGCCATTGAGGGCAATGTCGGACTTAAGTGTGGGGGGAGGGGGGTAGTTTATTCTTATTCTTGTGCGAGTGTGATTGATGGTGCTTGGTTGTTAAAAGTAGTGGGCCAAGTGTTTAACTCTCTAGTACCCCCCCCCCCCCCCCAAAAAAAGAAAAGAAAATAAAGAAAAGGAAAAAGAAACGAAAAAGAGGTAATAAAACGGGGTCAATAAAGTAGAGAGTGTTACAAAAGATTCGAAGAGTATGATCTAAGTGGGGTTTCTTGGCACTCAAGTCATTGAAACCCCCACATTGTTTTAGAACTCCTTCACTACCAAGTCGAAATGTGATAGCAAGAGTAGACCGGGGAAGAGCGCTTAAAGGTAATTCATGATGGGTGATAGGTTGGAAGAGAGAAGCAAGGTTTTTGGTCGATGCTAGTGGCCATTGTTTGTAGGGAAGGTTCTTAGTCGAAACCATAGAACCTCTGGGTTTAGGGTGAAGATGTAGGACCTCATGATGTGTTTGCCACCACCCAAAAAGCCTTTTCCCCATGTCCAAGACAATTTCCAGTCATTTGAACCCGTGTCTAAGACCTCCGTACAAGCTAGTGATGACAATCATCCCGTGACCTCTAACATTTAGAGGTTGCCGTCGTGGTGAAGAGATGATAGGGCCGAGTGTTGATGATTGTGAAAATTCTTTGCACCAAAAAGGTCCCGACCCCACTGGTCAAGAGAGTGAGTGATTCATTCTTACGCTTCATGTCATATCATACCCCGGTGAGGACCTTTCTTGCCCATTCATTTGTTTCTTGGACTTGAATGTTATGCCTGGTTAGTTTTGGTTGATAAGTGATCTTGTAGAGGCTTGCATTGATTCATGAACAAGGTGAGAACTTTTCGTTTGCCCATTTTAGTGACCTCGAATGTCATTTGTGGTGGATATAAGTATTTCTTGCAACGGTCCATTTGTTAATTGAAAATAG